TTTGTGTATTTGACATAACAAGCATGATATAACTTTAGCACATGTGGCAAAATTATTATCTTGTATTTCGTTTCTGTCTTACCCATGTGCTGATGTAATGTCGTATACAAGCCAGCAAGTTAGTTCACGACAATACTTTCTTTTGGGGTCTTTGCAGGATCCTCTTTCGTGGTCATGCTTCACCAATATATTCGTGCGAGTCCGAATCACTAATCACGCGAAACCTTCTCTGATTTTCGCGAGTTTCTGATGTGTTCCAAACAAATACAAACAAATTTTATTTTAGTTTTCTTCAAGTTAGGAACGTTATGAACGAAATTGTTAGTCATAAACCGTTAGTTTTGTTAGTTTTGCGACATTGTTAAATTCAGGGTTCAGAGTTTCCTCAATTCTTTCGCCATCATATGCAAATATAGCGGCATTGCCAGCATAGAGTTAAATTCTTCAATTGTTAATCTTTTCAGTGATATCATTTATTACTTGGTAAACAGCAGTGGACCCCAAAAGAATCCTTGCCGAACTCCGCAACTGATTCCAGTCGTTTGGAGCATGTACTTTGGACGATCTATTGCATGATCCATTCTATCGAACGTTTGCCTTGAGTCGACGAAAACTGCTCCTGTCAATTTCCTTTAATCTAAAGCCAGACAAATACGAAATTTCATGCTCAGTGGATGATTTGAGGTTGTTTCCGTCAAGATATGTGTAAAGTTGTTTATGCACGATTCGCTCAAAAACCTATGATAGCACTGGTAAAACCGAGATGGGGCGATGTTTGTAAATCATTGTTAATCGCCAGATTTAATTATGGGATACATTTGGCACATTTCTCTGTCATTGAGAAAACTGAATGTGCTAAGTATCGGCTTATCTAACCTTCAAGTCAAAAGACGAGGAAAATTTAAAGTAAAATCTGTCCTGAGAGGTGTGAGTATCAAATTCTGGTCTAAATATATAATTGTTTCAATAAAATGCTGTGAAGGGCCATAAGATGTAAATAGGATGTCTGTGTGCAAACGGCACTCATCGGATAACATGGAGGAATATTGCGGAATAGATGAGAAGCAACAAACAAATCATCATCTGACAAAAAAACTGAATACATGATACTTGGGTACCCAAAAGGAAAATATGGCATAGAAATTTGGCAGTTAAAAGAGACAAAATCAATAGTTATGATTTTTTTAACTAAAGAACGACTTAAGATCAGCTGTTCCCTTGATTTACTAAATAGCGTTTATATATTTCTCATATGCTTCTCATATGTATATTTTGTTTTTAAAAAAAGGGAACTTTTTTGCTTATAAACAATGTCTTTTAATAGAAATAAAAATAAATAATCATAACACCCCATACTAAATAAAAAATTTTGAGCAACTCATGACATGAATCATCGAAACATGACTCAAAGCAAACACATACAGACCCATTTTTATTACCTTAATGTAAATTTTTAGTAACCCCCCCCCCCCTTTCTCTCTCTCTCTCTCTCTCTCTCTCTCTCTCTCTCTCTCTCTCTCTCTCTCTCTCTTAAAAGCCTCTTTCGCCAGCTTTTACGGTGAATGAACCAACAGCAGCCACAAAAATCAGATAGTCATCTGTACTTTTAAAGAATAAACTTCAACTTCACAATCTTTTACCGAACGTATAGCTACTTGAAAGTGTCTCCTTGTCTAGTTTTGTATATCTTGCCATCTTGAAAAGATCTTGAGTCGCAAACTTATGACTGAAAAAAGAAGCATGTACCTAAAACATAATCTAACGAGTGAGAAAGGATTAGAGGCAAAGAGTCAACAGGTTCTCCGCTTTTTAACATTGACCTTGTCGGGTATTTATACTTTGATACCTGATACATTTTTCATAGTTCGATTCTACAACAATTTAAGATTTTACAATACCTGTGTTACTACTTAAGAAACAGATTTTAAAAACAATATATGTTTTAAAACAATAATCAATGAATGAGAACTAAAACGTCAAAATGGACAAAACGAAATTTTCCCTTAATGCTAAGCCAATAATTGGCAGATTTGACGCAATATTTGCGACGTTTATGTGCGAAATTTAAAGCAATATTCGTCGAGATGTTTGCGCACTGGTTGCAAAAAAGCAAGTAATATGTTGTAGCAATTAAAAAAGTCTGTTGAGCAAAATATATTTTTATTACAGCACGCGTAATGATATTCATAGCAAGACCTCATATAAGTTGTAGTGTCGTTTGAATAGGTAGCACCTGGAAAAGGATGACATGCAGCTGCGAGGGAAAAATATTACGCTATCAAGATATCAAAACGGCGATATTGTCTCTCACTGTCTTGAGTGCTCGAAAGCCAGTGACGAGTTGCAACCTCTATAGCTTGTAACTCTAGTGCCACTGTTCCTTTAGAGTAACAGATGGAACTTTCCTCTCTTTTTATAAAGACCCTTACCATAAAGACCCAGATATTCACTCCAACAAAATGTAAAAATTCTGTCAAAACCATGTTAAGTGTTTCCTAAAAACATACCCCTTTTTAAACATTACGTAACTGCAAACTGGTCAATTCAAAAACTTATTTTCGAACTCTTGGCCTCTTTTGGGTCCATCCTCCTTCTGGACAAGAGATCACAACAAGAAATTCACATTCACCCATAAAACTATTCAAATAGGACTGCGTAGGGGGGCTTCTTTAGATAACTTTGAATCGATTATCTTGAACCGCCAGCCTTGAATTAAACCGAGAAGCTAGTCAGAGGAAAGAAACATGAGGTTTTGTATATCAATTCACCATAGCTGGGTCTTAATAGTTAAGGATAGAGAGTTGCTTAAAGTCTCATATTTTTTTGGATCAAGTTGCTAGGAAAGATGTGATTGAAACACGAGCCCAGAACAGTAAAATATTGCAGTTTCAACTAACAGCTCCACTGTTGGAGTCTTTTTCTTCGTTTTTTTTCTGTCACATTTACAATGCATTTTTGATCTCTCCTCAGAAGTAGGCCTTATCTGAAAAAATAGTGGGGCGGGTATTTCAGGACGTGAAAAGGGGTCGTCAATTAGATTGCAGCTTGCCTATAGTTTCTCGATTAAGAATGATCAATTACTATAGTTTAGCGTGAACTGGTCTAATTTCTTATGCGACTTTGTGGTGTTTTGATTTCAAAACGATAAGATGCCTTATAACGATAAGTTAAAAAATTGACTAGGAACAGTACCATATCAGACCGCTAAGGGGGATCTCTTCAATAAACGGATTTTCAAGGAGGAGGAGGAGAGCTGATCGGGGGGTTTCAAGAAGGTTCTTCAAGAGGGTTCTCCAGAAAGGACTCTTAAATCTCTTCCAGGTGGATGTCATTCAAGCAGCAAACGAATTTGTCTCTCGAAACTTATCATGAAGGTTTTTCAACTACAACTAGAATTTTAATTTTTCAAGGACGTACGTTGATTGTCATCACACTTAACCTCTTTAGATATGGGTTCCAAAAAGAAAATTCCTTAAACGCACGTTTAGAAAGATGACTGCAAATATTAAACACTGTAGGGGTACATCCCTGATTCGGGCTTACAATTTTTCGAGCTCTAGGGTTTCATATCGATTCCCGTGATACTGTTGTGTTGAGAAAACATACGCTGAAAATACTTTGCATAATAAACCCGTTAAAAAGAAAATCGAAATGAAAATAGCTTGCGTGACACAGAGCACGAAATCAGCTAAAGTGCTCTCACAAAATATATCTGTATAGCAACGTGGCCACATAGATCTAAAAAATTATTCTGTTGGTATACAATAATTTGAAGTCTGTAAAATAATTATTGATTGTGGGCAAACATTTGAAACTATCACCTTTTTATAAAAACGTCAGCTCTTCCGAAGCTAGTTGAGAAGGTTTCCCGTTTCTCGCCTGTTCGCCCATCGGTGTCGGCAGTCTTCTCCCGTCTCTGTCCAACTCATTCTCTAAAAAAGTAGCTTTTCTACTTGGAGAGAAGGGTAGTCTAGATGGGGGCAGAATTGTCTTTGGTGATGGCGTTGAAGCAGGACTTTGCGACGAAGAGCTAGCACTGGAGTTGGGAAAGGCAGAGCTGCTTGCGATGTTCGATATTTTGGGGGAGATTGCAAACTTTCGTAGATTCTTGTTCTTTTCATCTGCATGTAAGTCAAGTGTATTTGGTCGCTCTGGTCTGCTTTCGAGATCCTGCGAATGAGACTGAAGCGAACTCCCTGAGAGGCTGCAATTAATAGAATCCAGTTCCGGGTTTGAATAGCGAAACAACCGGGAATTGCTGGTTGGCCGACTATCCTGGGACGGACTTGAAAACGGGTCGTACTCGTCGCGATCGCAAATAATATCGTACGACCGTAATGGCGAAGAGATGTCGTCGAGGTCAATAAGATTCGGGTGAGATGACATTACTATTCGTCTTGAATTTTCGGTGTCTGTATTTTTACGGTAAGTCCCGTAAACGCCTGAGTTCGAATCACCTAACGATATCTTATTCTTATCTCCAGCAGAGGTCTTGCGGGATTTATAGTTAAAATTTATGGAGGACAGCGACGAATCACGACTGCGACCTCGACTGAGTTTTCGTAACTGAAAATCCGGGTTTTCGTTCATTGCTGGCGTCAAATCGATGCCAAGTGCAGCCGCTATTAGAAGTCCAGCTTGGCATATAGCACGATAGCGGAATTTAGCATATTTAGCAGGATATGAACTTGAATGCTCTTGCAATGATGGATCTGATGTCAAACTGTCCACTGAAAGAAGCAAGAACAATATCTAAATAAGTTGGCATAAAATACATCGAGACCGCCGTATATAACGGACATTTGTAGGATCTGTGTCCGTTGTCTAAATTCTACATTCACAATGCTTTGACAACATAAAAACAATTTTCGGACATTATGCATGTCTGTAACTGAAGTGCAATGTAGTATATCCTTCCAAGAACACTCAAAGCAATTAACTGGGCTAGATATCTGCCATATAGGAAGCAACCCATTTTGATTTTAAACCTGCTGACGCCACAAATACTGCGACCGGTTCAATTCTAAATAAAAACGCTTCAAAACTGCTAATTGAATTAAATATTACGATTTTGGTCGTCTTTTAACTTTCAATCAAAATTTTAAAGATGTTTTATGATTTCAAGATTCGTGGACTTTTATTTTTGAGAAAAGGTACTCCTATAAATTACGATTTTATGCGACGAGAGAAGACATTAACTATAACTCTGCTTATACATGTTCTAAAAATCTGTTTCAAAACAAACCTTAATGAAAAAGACAGTAAAATTGCAGCTTGGTTGAGAAAATGTACACTTAAACTCAGGTAAGTTGAAACCATAAGCGGTTATATACGGCGTTGTGTTTTTGTTAAATTGTAATCGATGTTGAATTTTTGAAGCATGAAACATGAAGCTTGAATGCTAAAGTACAGGAAGCTAGAACTGTGCTGCTAAATACACATTTTCAAACTTCCAATTTCAAAAAAATTCATTTACACAGAGAAGATACATAAATTTTATTTGCAGCTGCTATTCTCCATGTAACAGCAGAGTTTGCAACAAAGAGATCTTCCCTTCTCAAAATTTACTCATCATCCTAACTTTCCCATCAGCCTGAATCACTTTTGACAAAACTGTTTTGATTCTAACAAAATATGAAGTTTTGGATCCAAAAAGTATTCTTATTTGAAAGTTCTTTGGTTCATGCTTCCCTCCCTCGTGTTATAAATACTTGATACTATGAGATAACAAAATTTCAATACTTGTGTGGCTTGTTAATCTGAAACAAACAAGCATGTACTGAGAAAAAGATTCAGTTCTAAAGCAACATTGAAGGGAAAGAAGATTTTTACGTACTTGACGCATCGATCAAAGTTCGATCCAGAACACCAAGATTTGGAAATGACGAAGCCCTGCCATTATTATCCGAATAGATTCGCGACCGGTTTTTGGTGCGCCTCCTTTCTTTGTCCTTCTGGTGTACCGAACTCGGACCCCAAGTCCGACCTTTCTTACCAGCGGCGGTCTTTAGCGCCTGGTCGTTTGCAGCATTAACTAAAAGTTAACAAACAAGTGTCATAAAGCATGCATATTCAAACTTGACCCAATGAAGATCACAACGCAAGATACCGTATAAACAGAGACGAACACATGCCGCTCGTACTGAGAAGTACCGGCATTGGGTATTAAGTGCAGGACGGCTCTAAGCTGCTACCCGGAAAATGCAATGTAAACTTCAGGCACGTACCTATTCTAAACATTTAATCAGAAATATACTTAAGGGCAGCCAGAGTATACAGAAAAGTTAAACTTAACTGTTATAACTTAATATTTTCCGTGTTGGTCTCCATTTTCAAAGGGAATTCCACACACATCGCATTAAAAATCTAAAAAGCGCAATTTTTAAAACCGAAATTGCGAAGAATAATTCATCTCTCTGTTCGCGCTGAATTTCAAAACTATCTCGCCATTTAACAAATGTTAAAATGCTTGTGAAAGTCTTGGGTAAATCACTTGTATCAACAAGTTTGTCAATGGCAACTCTACAATTCTCCCCCCCCCCCACCTCAACCCTTCCCTTTCAAACGATGTTTGGATGTTATTGACTTAACAAGTTAGTTATGATAGAAATCAATTCACTCAACATTGTTCTTTTTCATTAGATGCAATCCCTATCAGCTTAATCGTTAAACTCCAAAACAATGTTGTAGATATTGGGTTATAAATGAAAAATTAGCAGGCCATGTAGTTCTTACGATAAGCAAAATAGAAACAACGCACGTGATAACAATCGCAATCTGCTTGTTCCTGGTGACTTTGGAGGATTTTGGTTGCCATTAAAGACACTACCTCCTTTATGGTCATTCTTCTCGTCCGTCGGAGTGCTTGTTACTGTGTAGCGATGCTTGAAACCTGCCAATAGGATGAAAGTCATCATTTCCTGCAATTAGATATTTCATTTACGTTCTCTTCTAGAAATCCCCTCATAATCAGGGTACAGAAGAGCGTTCACCCTTTCGTGTCTCAATATCAAAAATTGCTAAACTTTCCTAAAAACAACAAAGACAAGGCCTATTCTAGGTGCTATGACGTACAATCACTGCCGAAAGTCTTGGAACACTGACGTAGGTTTTCAAAGGCAAATTCAGCCACCCCCTCTCCCCCTAAGGAACAATGTTGATCTACTATAAAAAAGAAGGGGGTTTTGGAGTATGCTCTTTCTTGAGGCTTGTTTGTTATTTTTCTTTACTTTCAACAATTGTTTTGGGGGAAAGGGGGACGGAAGTAGTAGTTTTCGGGGAAACAAATGAAAAATAGAAAAGCACGGTGCAAAGTGTTGGGTGTTCCACGTAATTGTGGCAGTGATTGTAGATCTTCTATTCTCAAAGATATTCGATGTAGTCGTGGCCAACTTTCCTGGATACTGGTTATAATAATGGCAAAATCTTTCAACATCAGTTAAATTACTACAGAATCCAGAATGCTGATGGTTAAGCAACAAACTAAATATCTTTTTATCAAGCCAAAATCATTCCCCTTTCTCAATATGGAAGGTATTTCCTGGCAAAACACTTGAAAAACTTAGCCACAGGACAATAAAAAATGTTTGATATCGGGTTAATAAGTAAATTGGATCATAATCGTACGAGTTTCCTACAGAACAAAAAATCAGACCCCTCAAAAATGGGTAAGACTTTATATTGAAACCCCCCCCCCTTTCTCTCCCAGTTCAATGATCATAATTCTGTTTGGCAAAGGCATTCAATCTAACTCTGAACGGGGGTTTAAGGTTGTACTCCTTCAATAGGAATGCTCTTCGTCATGTGTTTAGGTATGTATCGCAGATTGTGGATAAAAAGTACCTAACTACAATCTCTGCCAAAATTACTCGGAACACCGCGCAATTGGCCTTTTATGTTTTTATTTCTTTCTTAAATATTGCTTTTTTAGAGTCGTATTTCATAATTTCCTACGTCGTCTTATACAACAGGCAATTTCCCGAGGAAAAAAGCGAATGGCTGAATTTGCTCTGGAAAACTGATGTTAATGTTTCAAGACTTTTGTAGGGATTGTAGAACCGACCTCAACTCTTATAATCGGAAATATTTAGCTGACAGTTAAAGAGAAACTTCTTTTGCTTCATTTCGGTTGCAAAAAAAATTAAGGAGCAAAAAAAACACATTGTGTCTACGTAATAACCATATTGTGTATGCTTCAATTGCTTGAAGGTCAAGACACAACAAAGGAACGTATGGTATCAAACTAACCTGTTGGTCCACTTATACTGGTTTTGGAATATTTAAACAGTCGCCTTCTCTTCTTTGGCAAAGGTTTCTTCATCTCCTGATTAAGAAAAATTGGGAAGGACAGGCTTACAGCTCTGCAGACCCTTGGTAGTATCACAAAAGATGAAGATCAATATTTTCTATAAACTAACCCTTGTCCCACGTTGAATATCGAAAGAAAGGACAACCAGCTAAAACATCCCTTTGACTGAAAATTTTCACTGAAGAGCGCATGGTTTTAGATTTCAAGCTGAAAATATTGTTAGATTACTCAAAAATGCGAATAATAGAAGCAGCAAAAAACTAAGAATTCCTCACCAGAACAAGTATGTATAGCTTCACTGCAATTTTTTAGTTGCCTTGTGGAATGACAATTCACATAGTTTGTGAAAATATTAAGTGACGACATCACGAAAACCAAAAACTATTTTCATGTAAATTTGGATGCTATGTTATATCTTTGGATAATATAAACTTACGGTTGCCTGAACGACTAAAAAGATTTCCCTCTCCAAAAGCATGCGTTCTCGTTGATTCAGCTCCTCTTCCCTTTTCTGTAATGTCGCCAGCTGTTTCTTTTGGTCACTCTCAATACGAACAAGCTCTTCTTCGCGACTTGACAACTCCTAAAATATGGTAAATGGGAGTATGTGCAACAGGTTTGAAACATCGATTCCGAATAAAGCCGGTGGCAGTAAAAGTCATTCATTGAGAGAAATGAAAAGAATTACCGAGTAAAAGAGGTGGATTCAGAAAAGAAGTGGATTAAGTAAAAGAAGTAGATCGAATTAGAAAAGTAGATCAAGCTTTTAACAAGAAACCGTTTCGGATTCATGATCGACACAATACCAAAGAGAAAACTTACGAATGGCTTTGAAAATAGCTTTTATGTAAATTTTTCGATCTACGTTCTGACATTTTATACTCTAAGGGGTGTCAGACGAAAAGCTTCAGTATATTTCAAAATCTTTGCTTTTTCCAAAGCCAATTGAAATTTTACTACCACAAGAAAATTATCAGAAAAATTATCAATTTTCTTGACTTTTTGGTATGTTTAAGTTTATGGTTATCGATTTCTTTTACTGTAAGAGTGTGACCGGGATCTTAGCAAATCTAAAGTCTTAATTCAAATGTTGGGTTATACTTGTTTTACAAGGTTCATGCAAAAATAAAAGAAACTTCTAGGAAGCCCGAACAGAGCAGAAAATTTAGACATTTGCAAAAGTTAAAAACCTTCTCTCTTTCTTTAAGCTCTTCAAATATGCGCTCAATTTCTGCTTTCCAAGATTCTTGCAAAGACTTAAATGAGTCAGCAGCAGTAGCTGGGAAATCAGAACCGGCGATCTTCTCCAGGCTGCCCAAAATGTGTGGAAACAGCGGCCTCTCATGAGCATCAGACTTCCAACAATCTAAAAATGAAAGTTAACGCTAAATTCATTGGAGAGATTTAAAAGTAATTGAATTTGTTGTATTACTCGTGACATCAAGGCGCAGAAGTATAAATTTTTCAATCAAATCGACAAAACAGTGAGAAAGAGAATATTTTCGAGCGTCACAGATCCTTTTCATCACGATTTTGTATTCTCCTGACCTAATTTCAGTTAAGGAATTTTAACGTTTTCTTTTAAGGTACAAACGAATACAAGCGTAGAGTAGACAATATATCACATTGTGACCTCAAAGGTGAACTTCATGCGATTCGCTACAAGGCTTTTGTTAGGCCGTTGAATTAATATGCGGTGGCGCTCTGTGGGATGTTGAGATAGACAATAAGAAGGCTTCATTTAAAATTAAACGGAGCGAGTTAACAAAAACTATGAAATGCATAGATGAGGACAGCTGGATCGATATGAACAACATTAGGCTTATCAATATTTAAGAAGGCCAAACTATACAACGCAATTGCTTGTCGGCCGAGGAAACCGCTCGCTTTGTAAACACTTTTTATTTGAACCAAGGTCCATTGACGACATGCGGCAGAATTTTTTATGAGATTTGTTATTGAGCGAAAACTTGTGGGCCCAGATAACAACTCATTTTAATAAAAGCCTTACTGTTGTTAAAAGGGAATATTTATTACATAACAGTAAAAAAAGACTGTTGAATACATTTTATTATATTCAAGTATCTAGAGATGTGAGTTAAAAACGCTTTAGGGTTAGTGTTGGTGAGGTTGGTTGGCTACCTAAGCTCAACAATAACAAAGCGATGGGTGATACACAAAAAACAGCTGCTTTAGATCAACTTTCAATTCTAAATTCCTCGCTCAAGAGTAATAATATGCAACAAGATTCCCCAATGTCCTTTTAAAATCAGCACATAGTTAAAACAAACTGTTGGGTTCAGTGCAACACTACGATCACTCTCTACACATTTCGAAAACCCTGAAAATTCTAACGGGCCCTCCAACTATATATGTTCTATTTAATTGAAAATCAGCTACCCACGTTCAGGAATGACATTTATACTTCCACCAATTAGCATTTTTATGACTACCTCTACATTCAAGTTAAATAAACGCGATATTAACCCTAATTTATGTATAATTAATAGCAGACAACAATTATTAATTAATAACATTTCTTTTCAGTTTTTAATTATCATTTAAGAAAACGTCTGCACATTTGCTTCGACCATCAAGAGGACTGCATTTTAGAAGGAGGTGTTAATCTTAACAATTCATAATTGAAATGAAACTCTGCATCAAATATTGGGGGCATTTTCCTGCAGTAGGGTGCGTACATTTTAACCAAGATCGGGCCCCATTTTGCCAGATATTGTGCTCACTAAAGAATGAATATACAATCTTGCACTATTCTGCAAAGACATAATGACTCAATTTCAATTTTAATTTTCCAAAGATCAAGGATAACAACCTTTTCACCAGAGGAGATTGATCTTAGGACTGTCAAAATAGCATAAGGTGAAGCCATTTCTTAAACACTTATTCAAGATAGTAGCGGTTGATCGAGTAAGACCCCAAATTCAAAACTGGCGTCCAATACATGGCTCTTTCTAAGTATCACTTGAATGGGTAGGCCCGAAGCTAGGCGAAATCCTCGCAGCTAACATAAGACACTGAAAATTAGTGCCCTCTAGTTTGTTTCTACGTATGATGTAGATTGTTCTTACCTTCCATAATGACGGCAAATCCATGAGGGCACGTGGATGGAACGGGCAATGTGAGCTTGTTCATAGCGACTCCATATGCAATTGCAAGATTCTCGATGCCATGGTAAGGAACTTGACCTGTCAGTAGTTCCCACAGCACAACTCCGTAACTAGAAGAAAATACAAGGGAAGGTTGAAAGATCAGAATAGAGCAGAAATGGGATTGGTTAAGCTCAGGGATCTTTTTTGGGCAACCCCCACCCCCACCCTTCCCCATGAGAGAGAAATCCACTTTGGTGTGATCGATACATTATTATCAAGGCGCCATTATTATCGATTAAATTTTTAAAAAACCTAGAAGCTTTCAGTGCCAAGCGTTGGCACTCTAATTTTCTAAAATTATATATATATGTGTGTGTTAGACAATTTAACTAAGGCCATGGCTGCTGGTACTGTTGCTCTTGTCTTCAATATTATTTGCGGTTTTCAATTGTTATGAATCTCAATCTATAACAAAACAGCTCTATTTTATTTGGTAAAGGTGAGAGCCTGACACACAATAGACCAATTCGACTTACGGCCTCATTTTGAAAAATTCTTCAAATTATTTTGTACAAAATTTTTGACCTCAGATTCGGATTGCGAGCAATGATTTTAGTATACTTTGAAGTTTTCACTATGGTATTGCTCACGATATTGATTTTATGACGACAAAAAGATAAAAATTTTATAAGGGATTTGAACGTGATTTGCGACTAGAGGGGTAAAGTTTCCCCCCGAATGATTTTTGCGGTCAAATCCCTTACAAGTTTTCAAACTTCATTTCTCCGTAAAATCTAAAATACAAGCACAAACAATATGAAATATTGTATCCGGCCTAAAATTATGGTGATAAAACTAAATTTGAGCTTTAAAAAGTCGTATAATTAGGTTAGGAGAAATTTTCAAAACGAGGCCGTAAGTCGAATTGGTGTATTGTCCTTCTATCCTAACAGCATTTCTTCTATTGTCTGTGCTAACGTTTCTTCTATTGTCTGTGCTAACGATGCTTCTTGGCGACTACCTCGAGAAAAGGCTATCTGATACAGAATACCAGCAATGAGGGTCTTCATGAACCGGTGGTTTGAGCACAGTCTATATTATGGTTTGGATATAGCTCAAAGAATGACCAAAGCGACGCCTAATGGTGCCATTCAGTAATCACAACCTTAAAAAACTGACTAGACAGAACAACCTATTGTTCTAGCAAAACACAATCAAGAAGGCTGTATTCGCTCATCCTGATTGACGCCTTTCGGTCCGTGAAACCCCAAACATTACAGCCACAAATATTCTGTGGAAAACTCCAATAGTTGTAACTGCTTTTGGTTTCTACGTCAAAACGATGGAAAACATAGACATCCGAAGGCCTAAAGAAAAAGGACTTGAACAGACAAATAATTTGGACATGCCCAAAATTTGTTAAAGAAGACCACGAAACGCGAAAATTCATTAAGGATATCAGAAGATTTTGACGAAAATAACGAATTCAATCCACTGGTTAATTGGAGGAGAAATGAAGAATGGTGATTGTCCGATTACTAATGACGTATCTATCTTCATTTCGTATCGTGTAACATAACACAATCGCACGATGCTACTAACAAAGCGCACTATGTGATTAATGCGTCTTAAAAGATCTATGATGGCATTTTGAAGACATTACTAAAAAAAATCAATCCTAGGAAGCATTTACATATAGATAATGAAATAGAGAATCTCGAGAGCATCTCTTCGTTCCGAAGCGTATGAAAGATTTGAGACCAAACACAGAAAACAATCATGTATTCAAAGAGCACTAGCAAGGACTGTGGCAGCAAAAAAAATTTTCATTGCCACGCCCCAACTTAAACCATGTTTTTAAATTTAAGGAGAAGAGAACAGGGAAGACAGGGAGGTTTCTGGGTGCTTTTTAAATTAAGACTATAGGAGGCGGCGCTTCAACCGGGAAGAAAGCCAAAGTCAATAGCCAGGCGTTACAGTTAATAAACCAAGAGAAACCTCAGTGGCTTTCGCAGCGATACACCGATTATAATGCGGTTTTTAGCCCACGTTCTGCCATATTCAAAATCTAAACATAGTTCAGTAGTTTCAATCTTAAAAAAGCCCCTATTTGGATACCGCAATGTTCTTGTTGATGCGGCTTGTTTGATTTCCGAAAATACACTGGCGACGTCCTGGTCTACAATTCTGGAAATTATTTTTCCTAGCAAATCAACACCAGCTACTGCATAGGAACTCCGTAAACTGCCTTCTTCCTTGCGCAATATTCTAAACTCAATCATAGAATGCCACCCCACGTTACGTCTTGCAGGAAAACGTAAATGCCAAAATTTTTCACGTTGAGTCTCCGTCAAACGTTTGGACTATGGCAAAATCTCGAGGAAACTAAAGATACTGGGCCATAAACTTCATTAAACTTGTGGTCATAACTCTCCTGTTATTCTGGATTTAATTATAATCGACTGCTCTTTTCAAAATGTTATATTCAAAGTCTATAAATTTGTGAAATTTTGTTCTTGATACCAAATTCTTTTGTTGCCAGTCCTCCTATTAAGAACTTCAAAGTCTATTCACACTGAGATCAGTAATGAATTATAATAATTAATAATAATGGTAATAATTAACAACCGCTTAATGATCATTATGCGGCTTATTACAGTACAGATACAGCTCTCAAAACATATGCAGATTGGTCTCCAAACTTGACATGCAATGTAATATAAAGCGGACACCGTTGCTGGAAGGAAATCATACTTTTCTTTGAATTTTTTATAAATCATAGTTAAAAAATTTATCTGATGCAACTTTCTGTCAGATGGAGCACCTCATCCATGGTTTTGTTTAATCTCACCTTGACCTCGGTAAGAGTCAGTGAGTTTGCAGAATGAAAACCAACCACGTATTAAAACCTTTTTCAATAGACTAAAAAGGTTCTCCGTTACTAGTAAAATCGCTTTCTATTGTTCCGAATTTATTCCAATGTACCAATACTAAACGGTAATCCAGGGGTAGATCCAGAGCAAACTTGAAGGAGGGGAAGTTGGTAGTGGGGGCGCTGAAAATTTTCAAAAATTGATGACGAGAGAACGCTGTATACAACAATTTCAGATCCATTTTGGGAATAAACAACATCACTTTGAAGTAACCCTTGAAGCAAATTAACCTTTTGGTCTCAGAAACTTTTTCACCTGATTCTCATTCTTTAAAAGGGGCGCACATTTTCCAAAAAAGGGGCGCCATACTTGCTTCAATTCGTCGAGGGAGTGGCAACTGCCCCTAGTTGCCCCCCCCCCTTAAATCAAATACACTCCCTACGAGTTTAGACTTCCTCAATTATCGATTTTTGTAAAAATCCCTATAAAACGAGCATTTCTTTAAAACTGAATTTTTGCAAAACGTTATCTGCTTTAAAGGGCGGAAAAAACAATGTGGTGTGATAATCAAGTCAACAAGAAAGGAAAATCGTTGCAAAACAACCAAACCGCTCAAATAAAGGCCTGGACAATCACTATAACTTTAAACAAAGACTTTGCAATATAAATTGAAAAGATGAAAAGGCGGACATGGCGAACCCGGATAGGTAACATGTCTTGCTGGATGTCACATTGGCAGGAGAGCGTTCCCTGAGCCTGGGTGACCTGTTACTCGTTAATCAAGTCAGAAACTCCTCGAGTGTATAACATGAGCTTGATTTTACTTTCCTATCCGATTTCAGCTGATAAAAAGTGTAGAATGGCGAATGTAAAAACACATACCTCCATACATCGCTTGACTGCGAGAAAAGCGAGTTTCGGATCACTTCAGGCGCCATCCAGGGATAGGTTCCCGCGGTACTCATTTTCGTTGTATGGTCCGACTTTCTGGCTAGACCGAAATCTGTGATCTTTAAAACGTTTCCCAGATAATGTCCCTCGTCAACGCTTTTGCTTAGTAATACTAAGAGGAGAAAAAAAAAAGTTTGTCAAAAGCAATATCAAAAATTGAACATAAAACGTAAATACATTCGAGGGGTAAAATGCTCTATAAAAATCTGGTACACCTTTGGTGGAAATCCTACTGTTTTATCAGAAAATCCTTAGAAATCCTTTTGTTTGTGTTGTACGCTATTTGCAACAATCAAATAGATTTTCTAATTACAAACATAAAAATTGTAAACAAGATGATCATCTTCCCCAAAGCTGGGAGACTTAGAGAAAAGGGTGAAGTGCCTTGGGTCAGACGTTACAGCTTATTCGAATATTCTATGGCTGTTTTTAATGTTTTTGCTGCAGAATTGAAGAACTGTTATTAAAATGGTGCTTAATACGGTTTTACTCTGTATTCGGTTTACTTTTTCATAAAACAGAAATCACATTAAGAGGCAGAGTATCGCGAAACCCCTAAATACCTGCATTTATAAACTTCATACGACAACAGACAGGCAACATTGCCATAGACACTGCATACTTTTCTTAAAAATGTTCTTAAAAAAAACAAATTGAGAAAAATTTGGGGCTGAGCCACTAAATCAATGTAAGAATGTAAAAACATTGGTATTAATGATAGATTTTTCATGACGGGGTTTATGTTTCGCTAAAGTTTTAAAATATCAATATTATGCATGATTCCTTTCCAGTGCTCTGCTGTAGTTGAATATTTTCTTATTTCTTAAACTTACACCCTAATAATTCAAGAGCAAATCAGGAAAAAACCCGCCTCAAAGTTTTGAATGTCAATTTTTAAAAACATGGAGCAGCATCAAAGTTTTAAGAGTAAGCTGGTCCCACAGCTTCCTATCTCAGGCGTCTCTGGATTTGTCGAAAAGAACAACAAATCTTAAGCGACATCATCTCTACTTTGATATTTTCAAGGCCTACTGCATACAAGGCCTACTGCATACAAGGCCTACTGAAAACGAAATTAAAACAGAACATGGTTCGGTTGTCAACAAAATAACCTACTTACAATTTACATGGAAAAATATCTTCCAGACATGACGAAAACTGGTTGATCTTTAACCGCATCCAAATTAAAAGGAAAACGAGTGGGCACAAAGTCTATTGTAGCGGGAAAAGGCCATTTGGCCATGTGAAAGTTCAAATTCTTTATTTCAAATGAAGGGGAAATCTTATAAAAGGCCTATTAACGGAATTTGAAAACAGTGATAACATTGCTACAGTCTCTGAACTCGGACACAAAGACGGCGAAATTCTGTTTGATACTTATGTCTTCTACAACAAAAGGAACAAGGACAACTATGCCACAGGTAAATTAAGAGAGGGTTGTGTAGGCAGCAAATGACTTGAGGCTGAAAAAGCATTTGGCGTAGGATGAAATCCCCCACTTCCAAAGAAATGAAAAATCATGAAGCTAATTTTTTGTCACTTTTAGTTATTGTCACCTTAACGTGGCTTTTAAAAAAGCTTTTGCCTGGAAAGCATTTTATCAGCATGACAGCATTACACAAATGCTTTCTCGCTTATTTCGTACGACGACGACTGAGCAGAGCTCTTTAAGACACTATTAATGAGCAGATGAACACCAGAGAACAGTTATGGTCTTAAGAGATTAAAAACATCGATGGCTAAGGGCGCAATTAGTTAAAAAGTATATGAATTATTCAATTCGTATTATCAAATACGTTGATAACTGATTATCATTTTCAATTAAAGGTAACTTGTATATGGTTGATCTGCTGTAGACAATTCCAAATCATTGTTATTATTATAATGTTATGAAAAAAATATAAAATAGCATTACAAATGAATCTTGAAAATAATCATCAACATCAATCAAATAAGGATGTCTTGTTGACAGGGGGAAGTGAAGTCCATGGAGACAAAGGACATCAGAATGGAAATATCTTTTGTGGGCCCAAATTGAAGAAAATTTATGGAAACGAATATTAAGTTTTGAGCAATTGTTTATCATTCTCTAAAGGTTCTAGAGTGATAATCAAAGGTCCTTTTTGTGCCCTTGCAAAACTGCAAAACTGGGTTACTAAACCTGATACATAACTTCACATTTTCACAGTTACTTCAATTGAAATAAGTACCCATTTGAGGATTGGTTTCCTTTATAAAAACAATACCTAAATAAAATATATACCTAAATAAAATAATTACAATAACAATACCTGCAAAAAAGCAATTATTTTTTACATTTCACCATAGTGGGGAAATAATGGGCTTGTTTGGAGGCCATGGAAAGGTCCATAACATGTCATTCAAGAACACCTGCCTTGATTCCTATAGACCCAATGTCCCACTTCACAGGTCTACAGGAATGAAAATCCCATTTTATATATATTCTTTAAGATCTCAGGCCTTTTCAATGTAATTTGCAGATTGGCCTATTATTTTAAAAATAATTTGAAACTATGCTGGTGACTTTTCATTAATTTGCTCCAAAACATTTCCTTATATAATACTATAATAATATGATATATAATACTAAATAAAAAGGTATTTTTATTGCACTGTTTATCCTCAGGACTCAAATGCCCATTACATAACTTCTACAAAAATGTTTCAAGTTTAAAAATAAATATAAGATGTTACAAGAATATGATTCAATACAAGAATTTTGAAAAATTGTAACTTAAAATGTGTAAAATGATGCTAAATCTACGTAAAATCTAATCTGTGTAGAATCACTCAGAATCTAAAAAAATAGTATCTTAAAATGTAAGTTTAAGTTTTCATTTAAACTTAATTATGACCCAAGGTTGCTGTTGACAATCAGCAATAAAACCTCAAACTGCAACAATTTTCCTAACATTTTAACTACATCTTGGCACAGATTTCTATTCACATATTGTTATTAAAAAATACTTTCTACTCTAAGCACATCAAGAATGTCAGACAAAAGCACTTCAGTTTAATGCATTATTTTTCTGCTTGTTGATCCCATTTCAAGATACAGTTGTGGAAGATATCACAAAAAGAAGCCATTTCAGATGCTTATCGTGAAACCATTCTTTCCAAACTGTCAAGCAAAATACACAACAAACTACTGGATAAATATTGACAGATTTGTCTATTTCATTTTGTTGCAATTTTAGGGGGGAGCAGTATAAACACTTATTCATGAAAGATCGTGTCAGCAATGCTTGTAAAAATAGCCCTAACAGCTATACATAACTCTGCTTTGTTCATGTTTTCGAAAAACCACATACTAACTATGGAAATGCAATATTATTTGTACTTCTTGGTATTACCATTAAAAAGCTTCAGAGAATCCAACATGTACCAACAAGAGACTTATTTAAAAATGAAGTTGAATAGATAATGCTACAGAAATTCTGAAAAAGCTATCTGGTTACCCATCAGGTATTGCACAAACAAAATAAATGAACTGTACATTGGAACAGCTTTTCTAAATAAATTATTGATTTAATAAGCTATAAGAACAGCAGAGCTTGCTCACTTTGAACAGTAGAGCTTGCTAAACTTGAAAAGCTGTGAATTAGAACTGAAACAATTGGCAAAAAAGCATCTGAATATGCTGTACTCTATAAATTGAACTTCTAGCCACTCAATACCATATTCAAGCAAGCAGTAAAAACCATTTTTAGCAAGCATTAAATTTCTGCTTCACTAATAAATATGGTTATTTTTTAGGAATTGTATTGTAACTCTAACGATTACATCAATGTGGTGTAACTTTTGTATTCTAACTATAACTTGCTGCTGGATAGAATTGTAATGTATATATATATTTGTCATAAATCAACTTACATAATGAGACTGTTGTATAACAGTTTTAAACGTTGTATATACATATTATTTTAGATTTTTCTGACAGTGTTACAATGCATGAACAGAAATATATACATATGGTTTATCAAATATAATTTGTATGAAATCAGTTGCCTAATGATGGCTAGAGCTTGATTAGAACTGTCCCCTCTACACACTGACATTATACA